TTCCTGCTGGTTCTTGCGCCGCAGCGTGCGTCCTCCAGCCAAGGAGCTATGGGCCCACAGGGAGGGGCTCATGCTGCGGCAAGGGAGGGCAGCAAAGCCCCCGGCCCCCCCCCTGGCATCCCCCAGCCGCTGCTGCTTCCCCGCAGGGATCTGCGTTCAGGCACGGCTCGGTCTCCCTGTGAGGAGCTGGGAGCCCGTCTCCACCTGGGCGCTCACTGGAGCCGCTTCCGAGTCTGCTGCTTTCTAGGGAGACAGACAAACAGCGTGGGGTGAGCCACAGGGCCCGCTGGGCAACAGGCGGATCTTCAAACTGAGAGCAGGGGCTGCCAGGAGGGGACCTGCTCAGGAGAAGCATCTGGCCAGCCAGAGTCGCTCCTCCCTTACAAATCATGCCTGGGTGCCTGGCGGGCCCGGGTGGAGCAGCCAGCCTTGGGACGGCCACCTCACCTCTCTCAGCAGGGATGTATACCTCCTCCCAGGTATAACCACCCAGGTTCACGGGCTGCCTCAGCCAGTGATCCTCTGCTAACATGGCCAGCGTTGTGCGCTGCTCTGGAACGGGATGCAAAAGCCCAGCAATGAGATTCATGAGGCCTGGGGAGAGACAGCGGGGAGAGGAAGGGCTCAGGCTGGGTTTCAGGCATGCTGGGAATGCAGGTTATGGTTTACATTCAAAGAATGGAGATCCTAATTACAAATCCTCCCCATTAATCCCTTGCACAGAACGGTTCTACCACAGTCTCAGTCACAGGCGCTCAGCTCTGGGAACAACCTGGGATTTCCAGGTTGTGAGGAGAGGAGGCTCAGAGGCTGGAGTGCGGGGTCAGGGCGCCGAGGAGGACAGGAGCAGAAGCAAGTCCCACAGAGGCAGCCCTGAGGCGCTGTTCCCAAGCCCAGCTGTGCCCCGCTGTCCCCCTGGGTTTGGTCTGGGATGAGATGCACCACAGCTTCAGGGGAAGCTCCCAGAATTTACCAGCCGACTGCAGCACCCCGAAGCCTTATAGTCGCAGTGCTCTCGAGGAGCCCAGCGGCCCTGCTGATGGGGATTTCCTTAGCCTGACACACAAATTAGTTCTCTGTGCCTCCCACAGAAAACAAGGCCGATGTCCTTTTCCTGTGAGGGTCAAGCCAGACAATTCATTCAGAAATTGTACATTAACACATCATCATCTGGCCCCTGGCATTCAAGTGAGATAAAACTTGTGTTAGAGTTACATGGGCGCCATGATCGATCTTACAGTTGTCTGCCAGAGCAAACCATCCCTGCGCAGAGCGAACCAGGCATTATTTGTTCTGCTTTTCTCGTGTATAAACCTCACCGGAGCTTGGCAAGCGGACAGGTTGGTCATCAGAATAAATGGGAGACCTGGAATCTGAAACTGATAAAACCTGGGGCAGCTGGCTGCATTCATTGCGGGCAGGGAGAACTGTAGAACTTGCCCAAAAAGGATACCTGGGACAACTCTGCTTCAGTGAGCGGCCTTTATAGTCCTTGCAGAGCACATTCGGAAGCATTTTTCCCGTCTTCCCCTTTATTTCTGGGGAGTAAACCCTGCTCGTACTTCCCCAAGAGAGCTGTTCCTTTAGGAAAGCAAATGGGAAAAATACTCACCCTCTGACACAGTCCGGGGGGGGTTCAGAACAGCCGCCATGGTCTCCTCCAGCTCGCAGAAGGGATTCTCCCCAAATACCAGGGTGTAGAGGGTGATGCCGAGTGACCACATCTCCAGCTCAGGGCCGTGGTACCTACGCAGGGATAAACTTGCGTAAACTCAGGCTGCAAATACGCAGTCGTGTGCTAAAGACGGTAACAAGAAAGAAGGGCGCTGATCGCCCTTATCGCCAGTGTTTAACACGGGAGAATCCTGGTGAGGCTCCGTGTGGTTTGAGCAGTCTGTATTGTCCTTCTCCATGGAAGAAAAGCAGCCAAAGAACGGCCAGCCACCTCTGGTTGATGAGCACGAGCAATGTGCTCCTCAGCTTCCACCCGCGCCAGCCGGTGACAGGGCAACGGAAGCTGCCTCCTCCTCCTTCACCACAAGCTACAGCTACCAAGTAAGTGTTCAAACGGAAGATCAGACACTTCAGTGCAATCCCATTTCCCCCCCAACCCTTTCAAAACAAAAGTTATTTGGAAATAAATATTCTCGATCCAGATTCCATCTGAGAAGAAGGGGAGGTTTCTTCACCCAGTAACAGGCTGAGCTCCCAGGGCAGCGCGTGTCACCCCTGCCTGGCTCCCAGCAGGGATCCCCTCCCCTCCTCGCACAGCTTTCCCTCCCACCCCGTTCAGAGGAGCTGCCCGAAGGACCCACAAGCAGGGTACCACATGCGCACGCACAATTAATGGTCACCACCCTGTGATGGCAAGGCTTCCCCCAGGAGGGGGTAAGAGAGTGCTGGCCGGCAGGTATGTGGCACTTGAGAAGGAGAGAACAGGGAAAGGACAGCTGAGGTCTGGGTGGCGCATCCAAGGTAGCAGCAACGGAAGAACCTTGAGTCCAGAGGGGAGATGAGCAATGATCAAACTGCAAAACCTTGTAGAGGGAAGCAGGTAGACAAGAAGGGGACAGGCGAGACGAGAGTGGGGGAAGTACAGAACACAGCCGTGGTGAGGGGCAGAGGCTACACAGCAAAACTTGCTCATAGAATCACAGAATGACAAAGTCGTTTGGGTTGGAAAAGCCCTTTAAGCTCACCAGGCCAAACCATTCCCCTAACCCTGCCATCCCACCCCCAAATCCTGGCCCTAAGCACCTCATCTGTCCTTCTTTTAAATCCCTCCAGTGATGGGGACTCAACCACCTCCCTGGGCAGCCCATTCCAGAGCCTGACAGCCCCCCTCCTGTCAGGCAGTTGTAGGGAGCGATAAGGGCTCCCCTCAGCCTCCCCTTCTCCAGGCTGAACACCCCCAGCCGCTCCCCATCAGCCCTGGGCTCCAGACCCTCTAAAGGAGCAGCCTTTGGTAAAGCCAGGTCACTGCCCACCACAGGTATGAGGAGAAGGGCAGCAGGCTGATGTTCCCATTAGGGAAGATTAAGGGAAAAGGACACGTTCAAGTCACAGCACAACTCATCCAGACTCTTCCACCAGGCTGGAAATTAAAACCACAGGCTTGTTCTTGAACTCAGCTCTGCAGCAGGACGGACATTTAGTACAAGGCTTTGCAAAACATCTGACCATAGTAAGCAAGCCTGTCACCAGACTGGCTCAGAAACAACATCGTATGTATTCAAGCCTTTGCAAAGAATTTCTGTCGCTGCAGCACCCTACTTTATCTGCATTCAAACCTTTGCAAGCGATTTCTGCTACTGCAGTGCCCTAAATCTCCCTGCAGTGCCCTGGGGTTAGATACTCCAGCAGAGTACCGATGGCAAAGCAGCCTGGCTTCTCTGTTCCAGCCCTGCACACACGCTGGTTTTGGTGCGACTGACACAAAAATGACTTTCCAGAGGGTGACATACGGTTTGCCAGTGAGCACTTCTGGTGAGCAGTATTCGATCGTCCCACAGAAGGTATAAAACAATTTGCCAGGCTCCAGGTAGGCAGCTGAACCAAAGTCCACTAATTTGACTGTGAAATCTTCAGCAATGACGATGTTTTCATCCTTGATGTCTCTGTGAAGGATGTTTCTACAGTGGAGATACCCAACGGCCGACACAAGCTGAAAGAGGAGGAAAGCACTGGGTGTTACTACACAGAGGCGGCCTTCTGGACAATCTAGGTGGCATCATGGAGGTCCCACAGCCACATCTCAGCTTGTTTTGACGCTATATACACAAGATCTAGACCCTCATTTTGGTAAGGGGAAGCGAACTGGGGCACGCCTGTCAGCAATGCTGCCGCAGGTGTTACACTGCTCTTGGGAGAGGGACTTAAAAAAAGCCTTTGCTTGCTATCCTGTCTCAAACGTGCAGGAGGACGGCACGGCACAGTCACGATGCACTTGTTCTTTTGGTTAGAAGCATCCGAGCTTGCTGCTACAGTCCTGCGAGTTACTCTATTTTTATCCCAGCTTCATCTGGAGGGTCCTTTGATCTCTCCAGAAGGGTGTTACCGTGTGCCTCCGATACTGCAGGATGACAAAGCATTTAGGGGTGAAGTTTGGTGTAAATAATACAGTCACTCCTAAATTCCATTCTTCTTCCTGCACGATTCACGCTATCGTGCCCTAACGAAGAATAGCATCAGAATTATATCACCTTGGAGACAATCGTGATCCCTACCACAACACATCTGAGCAAGAAAAGCAGATGGCTGAGGGAGAAAATCTTCTATTTATAACACAGAGCTCCCTCCCCAGAGAAATACTGTACAGGTCTGAAGTAACAAAGCACCCCCACAGACCCAGGGTCGGCTTGGGAAAAGGGCTTTTCCATCAGCAGTCCAAAAGGGCCGTAGGCTGCAATTTGTGAATGCATGCTGCGCAGCAGACACCGAGAGGGGGCATCGCTGTGGCTGCCATCCACCATCAGCACCCCAGGCCTGGGGAGTGGGGACGCAGTGGTGGGTGGCCAGGTGCAAAGTAATTCCTGCATGCCTTAGAGCAAGGGGTTTACTCCAAAACCCATGAGGGGGAATTACTTGGGGACTCCTGTTGCAGTTAACTCACTGAACAAAGGACAGTGCAGCTCTCAGCCAAGCTCCTGACTCAGTGAACGACCTCGAGTTGTTTTGAACTATGCCAGTTATTTTGCATTATGCCAGTTAAAATCCAAGCTAATTTCTCGATTTTAAATCCCTTAAGAAGAGGAGAGCCCTTTACCCCCATAACCAATCTAAACCAAGCATCGATATAAGGGAAAGCGTGGCTTCTAGTGAGGCCTGGGCAACGTCCACACGCTTTCCTCCTCCCACAGAGGAAACGCGACTGCTGCGTGAACGGGCACCCTGGTGACAAGGGGGCTGTGTGCTGCGACAGTCGCAGCCAAGAGGCGATGGCTCTACAGGACATCCACATATGAAGTAAGGTCCTGTACAGGTTTCTTTGCTACAGGTTTGTAAATAAACCTTGAAAAGGTTTCTGCGGGTAGCACTTCAGTCAGTGAGAAATCGGCCCTACAGAATAACGAGGAGAAGCTCTGCAGGTGTTGAACATGACACCGCTGCAGCGTACCTGCTGCCCAGCCAGTGATTCTGAGCGAAATAGGGTCCTGGTTCTTACCTTAACCAAGTCCTCCCTGCAGGTAGCAACTGCACGTCCCCAGCTCTCACCTGTCTGAATATATAGCTCGCTAATGGCTCATCCAAGTTGGGCTGACTGTCAATGAATGTAAAGAGATCCAGACCAGACCCATGCTTCTCCATCACCAGCTGGAAGAAGTGTTCATTCTCAAATACACCCAGCACCTATAAATAACAGACCTTTGTGATCATGTGCTTCATCCTCAGGCTGCCTTTTTTTTTTCTTTTTAAACAAACACTGCTCTCCTCTGGGAGATTTAATCAACGTGTATTATAATTTTTGAAGTCTCATTTCACTGAGCACAAATGTTTCTTGAAAAGAGAGCAGAATCAAAACCAAGAGGAATTATCTTTCTGGGGGAAAAACCCCAACAACCCACCAAGCCCCAAACAAAGAAGAGGAATCGAGATATGTATCCAGGTTATTTACTGAGCTGGTATGTGGTCTTATGTGGCATCCCACTTCCAAGATGTGCATCCTATCATCTGGAAATAACACACAGGCTTTTTTTCTGTTTAGTCACACCTTCGGGTCTACGTTTACATCGATCATTTGGGGTAAAAGCACCGAAGCAAGCGATATGCTGCTGTAACACACCCCCCAAAACAAAGCAGGGTAGGGAGGTTCCTTTCTTTTCTGAAAAGGCAGATTTAATACGGGGCCCTTCCTCACTCCTGAAGAGGAACGCCAGACACCAAGCATTCAAAGGAGTCATCTGATGCAGTTCAAACCACATTCGCCCCGAGTTCACTGTACCTTAATGATACTGGGGTGCTCCAGCCTCAATAGAATTGCAATTTCTTGAGTAACTCTCCCCAGGTCAGGATCATCTACCCAGCAGTCCTCGAGCACCCTCTCCTTCCAGATGAACTTCACCACAACCTACACAGACAACAGCATTCAGCATCACTTGCAGAAGTATGGCTCGAAGTGTTTGGTAAGTTAATTTCCAGAAGAAATGTTAGTGAATCCTATCACTAGCAGGACAGAAGTAACCCAACATGCATCGCTTATAGTATCTTTAAACATATTTGAACTAATTTAGTCCTAGGCACCAAACAATGCACAGAAATGGAATATATTTATTTTCTTTTTATTGATGCTCTGAATTCCAAGGGCTTTGACAGGCCAGCTCACAACCCAGTTACAGCAGCAGTGACTTCTGGCATGGGGTACAGCGGAGGGACATGAGCACTTAACACCCATGCAGAGAAACACCAGCGCTTCCCCCTCAACACCCAAAATACTTCTGCTGAGAAAGAGGAGGGTCCCATAACCTCAATAGGCCTATTCCAGATTTGTGAGTTATGGCACAATAAAGACTTTGATGTTTGTAATTCTCTTCAGGAACAGAAGATTAAAACATGTAATTCTGTTAAGCTTAACATGTACTTCTTTCAAAAGGTTAAACCAGTGACATGCTCAGTCTCACGCTGTGCCCGACGTCTTGGGTAACAGCTCGTACGCTCCGTCAGTGCAGACATTTTGCTGTCCTGTTTCCGTGAGGTTAGGGATTTCAGGTTTCTGTTTAAACAGAGGAAAACCCCAGACTACCAAATAGCAGTCTTTAATAGCGAGGTATTGGCAGAATATGAACACGCTAACCTTTCAGTTTTCATTTCTAAATTTAATTTCTAAATCATTATTGCAACGAGATCTAAAAGAAATCTTTAACCTCCTGGTGATCTTCCTTGCCTCTGGCAGTCCAGACAAAGCCAAAAGATCCTTTGCCAATAAGACGGAGAGTGTCGTAATTTTTTGCGTATTCTCCCTCACATGCCCTTAATCCTTCAAGCTCTTCGGCTCTTCGGGAATTCTCAAAAAGTGAAGTGGATCTGATGGACTAGGCACAGATAAAAAAAAAAAAAAAAAGTGAGACAAAAATGAGTGAGCCACAGAATCATGTTCATAAAGTGACATAAATACTGAAGAGGAAGAACACATCTGCAAGAAGAGCTAAAAGGAAAGAACTTTGGGTTTGATAGCAAGAACCTCATGTTGATGTGACCATCACCACAGGAGACAAGTCAGGTCAACAGTCAGCTCTCAGCAGCTACAGACAGTGATTAATTCAGAGAAAGGTGAAGAAAATGGGAGCACACGCACCTTAGAGGCGCGCACAAAACTCTCGGTGCAGGTAGGAAAATTAATTCATTGTGGTCCATCACCAAATGACACTTTTATTTGATGACTAAAAAGTGGGTGACTTCCCATGTTGTAATTTTTCCAGTAAGTGTATTACAGATGGACAGAACTAAAAGCTGCTGCTTTAAGCTCTGTCTTTAACTTTGGTTATTCCTATTTGCCCCAGTAACCTAAAAAGAGTCAGTATAGAGAAGATATTAAATTCCCAGGGTCTCCCAAACTTCCTGGTAAGCTGACACTTTTGTTCTGCAGATTGGTCTCTTGGCAGACGTGAAGAGCAAACAAGTTCAAGGCCCCCTCCTAAATGATAAGACACCAGTAAAATCCCTCGTAAGGAAACATCACTTGCCTTCCTACCCAGGCCTGCCACACTGCCAGGGAAATCAAACACAACAGAAGTTTTTCCTGCTCTGAGGACAGGGCTTGGGCTCGTTTGTCTCCACAATTATGAGGTTTCTCCACCAAAGATGGTGTCCAAAATGCATGATAACAGAACAACTTTATGACACGCAGGGTATTCCATACCAAGAGGATACGCCACAAATCTCACAGGGGCATTTTTTTCGAATAATGAAATTTGGAGTTATACATGAAATGGCCAGAACTGTTTATATTTCAACATACGCGTGCATGTACATGGAAGATGATTTTCTAAAAGGAAAACAAGAGCCACCTTACTACTCAGCTCTCAAAGGTCTCATAAAAAATATTCCAAATAGCAAGTTTTGCCGACAGCCAAGCTTTTCACTCGAACATCTACTTTGTCTCCCAGCTCACCAACTAAAGGCGAGGCAGGGGAAAGAAAATGCACGTCTAATCTGCAGTCCATTTCAGTAAACAGCAGCTCCCGAGAGTCTGCTGTAGTTCGGAACTGCCACCACTGTACATGTTACACGTGTGATATCTAAATATTGATGTACTTCTCTGTTAGGGTCATCATAAAATCCAGCCACGTCTAGATCTAGGGAATGCAAACATTTATTCGAGGGATCTATTCGAAGATTACCAAATGCAGCATCCCAGGAGACAGCTAAAAACTGCAGTTTTCTTCTGCTGGCACAAGTTTTCAGCCTAGGATTTCCTTTTTTCATAATATTGTGTCATCAGTGCCAGTGCGATTACATTGATTTAAAAATTAATCTCACCACACTTGTGCAAACCTCTGTTGCAGATGTAGTTAAACCAGCCTAAGAACAAGTTTTAAATTAGGTGCTTTCGTGGTTCAGACTGGCAAGGTCACCACGCTAAGCCAAATGCGGACTACCAGCAATGTTACAAAACAGCAATGGTCCTTTTTACAGCAAAGAAACATCTCTTTTGACATAAAAATAGGGAAACTGAGAAACAGCAATACCCGCCCACCACCTCATGACATTGCTTTAATTTGAAAAACTTTTTGACTTTAGCTTCAGCTTAACAGTCAAACAAAGAGAGAAATGCTCAATATTATACATTGGTGGAATTTCTTACTTCTCCAAGGCTCTGTGTAGAAAGATCTGCAATAGACTGGGCAGAGCTGGCCAGACTGGAGAGCAGAAGCTGAGTCCTTGCTACAGCTTCCTTGTGGCTCTGCAGAAGGTCTTTCACCACCCAGACGCAGAAAAGCAGGGTAGGGTCCTGCAGTTCTACCCGCTTCACTTCAAAGAGTATACCTGTGGAAACAGGTCAGGAAGCTAGAATGGCAGAATGAAACTTCAGTGCTGAACGAGGCTGCAGGCATTTTAGGACAAACTTCTGAGCTCTTGAATTCCTCCATTATTCATTTGGGGAACACCTACTCTGTGAGAAATCAGCAGAGGGGCTGACCAAAGCACAGCTCAGAACAGCTGCTCTAGAAAGAGATACTTGGCAGCTACCTCCAGAGTTCCCACCCCCCTGCAGAAACTTTTGTCAGTGTCCAATTGTGATTATCAATTTCACATTGTTACTCTAAATGATGTAAGAATGGGGATTTTATACAACAAACTGCAGAATCCAGCTGAAGGAGCGAACGAAATACATGCCACTACACAATTTAAATACCAGTTTTACAATGGAGTTTGTATTTTCTCTTCAGAAGAAGTTATCAGGTGCAAATAATTTAATTGTGTTCTAAGAATATTTCTGACTATTCAGTCTGGATTAATTTCTTAGTAACTTTGTAGTTCATAACACCTGCTTTTCCAATACCCTCTGAGTAGACTTAAATACCATTTCTTCTTCTGGAAATGCTAGAGTTTCTTCCTTCCTCTCCACTGTGAGCTTCTAACCAGAACTGGCTGCCTTCTGCAAAAACGTGGGTGAAAAAAAGCTTCCCAATAAGAGTTTTGGGAAGGGGAGAAATAGGTTTAACTTACTTAATTGTGAACCATCTCTGTGACAGCAATTCCCAGTGTAGCTGCCTTCCAGAATCTCCAAGGTCAAAGAAGCTGCTGGATTCAGCCTTCCTTCTTGTTTCACTGGGGTCGATGTTACTTTTATCTCCATATTTTGCTGTCCATGCAACTGACAGTCTTCTTCAGGACTACCCTTGCTTTCCAGTGGGTTTCTGTTGACATTGTCCCCCACAGTCTCTGCAGGAGTTTCAGGCTTCTCAAGAAATGCTTTGCTGGATTCTTCAGAGTTTTCTAAATGCCTTCGGGAAGCCAGCCACCCAGAACCATCTTCTGCAGCTGCAGGAATACCTAAACAATTGTCAGAGTTCCCCTTGGCACCAAAATTCAGACCCAGTACCTCAAGACCAGAGCAAATATGGTTCAGCTCAGTGTCCGATTCTTTAACGTCTTCAGAGGTTGTGGCAACTCCTTGTGGAGAAGCACTGCAACCCATTTTATTTCCCAAGCAAACATGGATAGTATTTCCTCCATTTGCAAAGAAAGATGAAGAATCATTTAGCAGGCACTTTTCAACGATGACATGCTCAAGACTGGAACGTTTCATAGCACATGTCAAGTTTGGTTTTGATAACTGTCCTGTAACCACGTGGCTTTGAAAGTCTTGTCTGCAGCCTGGTGGCGTGTCAGACCACGGCTCATCTATTACTGGTATTCCAGGTGAGTTACAAGTAATATAAGAGGGCAGCTTAAGTGGGCCATAGGATGTGGTATCCAGACTGTCTTCTTGCCTAGAACAAACAGGCGAGCAGGCAACGTTTACTGAAGCAGCTTGACTCCAGGCATCAGTGGAGTGCTGATGCTGCAGCATTTCACATGGCAACCCACAGGTCTGCTGACAATTTCCTTCCCTGAGGTCTTGGTGATGAACTTGTAATTGGTTAGGCAAGCCTCTAGTCTCACTGGCATTCCGAGTCTCAGACACACCAGATAGTGTGCTCTCACCGCTTCTTACTGGAATCTTCATGTTCTGATCTAAATCCAAGTGTTCTGAATCAGATGACATGGGAGAGAACCTTGCAGAGAGCATCTTTTGAGAATTATTTGATCCTGCAGCTTCTACTGCTCTGCACTGTTCCACTGCTCTGATTCTGTCAAGCCAGGTTTCAGGGCAAGGCTCTCTACGGTTGGCTGACAGCCCATCAGTAGCCACGCTGCAAGGATTCAAAGATATTAGTGGTATCATGATGACAAAAGAATGAGAAAACCGACATACTGCATACTACTCACTCTTCTGTCACTATGGTCACCATTGAAAACCTGCACCAATTGTTTTATTGTTAAGTCTAAAAGAAAAAGGCAGAAAGCTGTTGGCACAGGCATCCAAAATCCTGACAAATTCCATCTTGACCAACAAAGAGCAGGTATGCTCAAATGGCACCCCTTCCCTCTGGATTACTTCCTCCTCTAGCTTAATTTCTAAATATATATCACAGATCATTGACCACAATGAAAGCCAATAGAGGTGGTGGGATATTTCTAGTTCAGAGAACAGAAGATCCCTTGTCTGTCTGACAGAAGATGGATGTCCCCATCCATCAATTTAACCATGGTTCACTGAAGCCCGCAGCACAAGGTATTTTACAGACATTTCTATCAGTAAAAACGCAGAGTAGAAGAACAATCCATGCAGCAGAGCACTTACAATCCAAGTATGACGTCAGAGACATATACCCAGGCAAGCACAAGGAAATAATGAGATTATCAGTCTCTTTAAAAAGCAGCAAGAACTGTGCTGTAATAGTCTAGATATTAAAAAATAATTTCCGAGGGTTAGAAGTATTAATGTGGAAGGCTTAAAATTTGACTTAAGATAAACCACATGCATCCTAGAGGTACTTGCACAGAATTTCTAACCTTGTAACGGGAAGAAGACCTGGAAAGGTTCAATAAAAACAGCTGGACTTCAGTAATGCTGTCGGAATGGATGACCTGACAGTTACACCAAGCACCGGAAGGAATAACATTTAGAATTCATTCCAGTGAACCAGGCTTCGGCGCAACACCAGCTGGTGGATACCATGGAAGGAGATAAACATTCACTGTTTCTGACCCAGCAAAGACAGAGCCTGATTACCTTCCCTAGCTTGGGTTTCCTAGCACTGGTCCCCTTCAGAGACAGAACTCCTGTAACTTTACAATTGTATGTTGTACAGATCTAAACAAAAATCTAAGGCAGGCAAAACTCAACCTGTCTTGCAAACAGCGCTCAGATTCTAAAGAGAGCAAAGTGCAGAAGGCTCTTGTTACACTTTCCCACAGGCATCACAGAGGTGAAGAAACAGCTTTTGCTGGTGATTGCCACCACAGCCCTTCATTTTTCATAGTGAATACGCAGTCCCTGAAATGCCTACCTATCAGAGGGTGTGGATGCCACTTCAGGAGGTGAGGGAGTAGAAAATAAACTGGTCCCATTCTTTTGTTTAGTCTCTTTGTGTATTAATTTGTCGTCTCCATGTCTTCTTTCCAGTTTCTGCTCTTCATCTCTTGACAGTAGGCCTGCAGCCAAGAAGCTGCTGCCTGTACCAAACAAGAAGAAAAGTGAAACCAACTTAAATTTTTACATTTGGGCTTCAGAGACTACCGTGATCATCAACAATCTTGGAACTGCCTTGGTCTCTCTCGTCCCTAAAGAATTAAGTATAAAAGGTAAAGTTGATTAAGGCAAAGTGGTCCAAATATGAGCACTCCACTCTATGTTGGCCTGAGAAGTCATCACATGCAGAAATCTAAATGTTTCATGGCTGCCAAAATTTGCCTTGCTATCAAAGCTCTTGGACAGGTATTAGCCTCCTGGCTTAGCCTCTTGGATTGAAGTTCAGAGACCCCAAAAAAGGCCAGGGACCATACATAGACAAAAAAAAAAAAAAAAAAAAAAAAGCCCCAAACACACATACACTGCCCATTCCAGACACTTACAATGAAAAGGTTAAAGGTTTAGACTGCATTTATGTAACTCACTGAAATCGCAGGACAAAAAAAGCATACAGTCTAAACATGTTTAAGAGAAAGAGAACTTCTCCCCTTCCCCAGTGACAAGAGATCAAAAGAGAAAACCTTGAGTTTGTAAGATGAAGTAAACCAAATATTGTTAATGAGTGAAGAAATCGGATTCGAATCTAGAACAATCCTCCCATGTTCTAAAGGGTGAGTGCCTGCAGTGCTTCCTCACCGAGTAACTGAATCACTCCTAGATTAGGGGCATCACTTTATCAAAGAATTACTGAAGAAATTGCACACTGTCTTCTAACTGTTCTTCGTTCCAGCAGTCTGCATTGTTTTCAATGCAGACCTGCATTTCCAAGCAAAGAAAAGAGATAAAGAAAACCGGGGGGGGGGGGGGGGGAAACGGGAACAACACACACGACACGAGACCAAAAATGAAGGAGACAAAACCAGCATAAAAGATCTGGATACAGATGAAAGTATGTGCTTGCTTGTGTTCTCTGTTTTGGGCAGAGCTAGCTGGAAAGATGTATTTGGAGACGTGAGGCTTCCTTGCTTCTGTTGTGTTTAGAGAAATACAATTCTGATCAATTCTTTGTAAATGCAGCGAACTGCAGCAGTGGGATACGTGATGCCTCCTAACTGAAACACCACAGCATTGAACATTAGCCAGCAGCATGAGTCAGTTCAGAAGAACATTAGAATTCCCCCTTAAAATATTAGTCCTGAGTATCTACAGCTCTGCTGCAATACTGTCACAAAAGCTGTATTTTACACATCCTAAAATACTCAGAGAGCCTAACAGGGGAGGGAGGGAAAGGGAAGTGCTTGTTAAGTACAAAACATTCTCTATTAACTGTGTAATTTCCAACTTGGATATTCAGTTTCATCTTCTTAGCAAGGAGAGAAGCACAACCTCAGGTGAACAATTCTGTTTACCTTAGGTCACAGGGGAAAACTGTCCTGGTTTCGGCTGGGATAGAGTTAATTTTCTTCATAGTAGCTAGCATAGTGCTGTGTTTTGGATTTAGTACTAGAAGAATGTTGGTAACACACTGATGTTTTTAGTTGTTGCCAAGTAGTGCTTAGACTGCTCAAGGACTTTTTGAGCTTCTCCTGCTCGGCCAGGTGCATAACAAGCTGGGAGGGAACACAGCTAGGACAGCTAACCCAAACTGACCAAAGAGCTATTCCATACCATATAACGCCATGCTCGGGGGGGTTAGTTGATACTAACAGTCCAAAAATATACTGTTGTGGGGGGGGGGGGGGGGGGTGGTTGAAACGGGAACAACACACACGACACGAGACCAAAAATGAAGGAGACAAAACCAGCATAAAAGATCTGGATACAGATGAAAGTATGTGCTTGCTTGTGTTCTCTGTTTTGGGCAGAGCTAGCTGGAAAGATGTATTTGGAGACGTGAGGCTTCCTTGCTTCTGTTGTGTTTAGAGAAATACAATTCTGATCAATTCTTTGTAAATGCAGCGAACTGCAGCAGTGGGATACGTGATGCCTCCTAACTGAAACACCACAGCATTGAACATTAGCCAGCAGCATGAGTCAGTTCAGAAGAACATTAGAATTCCCCCTTAAAATATTAGTCCTGAGTATCTACAGCTCTGCTGCAATACTGTCACAAAAGCTGTATTTTACACATCCTAAAATACTCAGAGAGCCTAACAGGGGAGGGAGGGAAAGGGAAGTGCTTGTTAAGTACAAAACATTCTCTATTAACTGTGTAATTTCCAACTTGGATATTCAGTTTCATCTTCTTAGCAAGGAGAGAAGCACAACCTCAGGTGAACAATTCTGTTTACCTTAGGTCACAGGGGAAAACTGTCCTGGTTTCGGCTGGGATAGAGTTAATTTTCTTCATAGTAGCTAGCATAGTGCTGTGTTTTGGATTTAGTACTAGAAGAATGTTGGTAACACACTGATGTTTTTAGTTGTTGCCAAGTAGTGCTTAGACTGCTCAAGGACTTTTTGAGCTTCTCCTGCTCGGCCAGGTGCATAACAAGCTGGGAGGGAACACAGCTAGGACAGCTAACCCAAACTGACCAAAGAGCTATTCCATACCATATAACGCCAGGCTCGGGGGGGTTAGTTGGTCAGTTGTGGGGAGAGTAATCGCGGCTCAGGACAGGCTGGGCATCGGTCAGCAGGGAGTGAGCAATTGCATTGTGCATCACTTGTTTTATATATTCTGTATATTCTCTTACCATTATTATTATTACTATTGTTGTTATTCTCTCTCATTAAACTGTCTCTATCTCAACCCACGGGTCTTACTTTTTTTTCTTCCAATTCTCTCCCCCATCCCACTGAGGGAGGGGGAGAGTGAGCGAGTGGCTGCGTGGTGCTTAGTTGCCAGCCAGGTTAAACCACAACAAAATCCAAATTAAAAACTACATGGAGGTACACGGCTTTTGCAAAGCATGCTCCTGTGTTCATAGGCAAATCTCTCGTCTCTGTTAATTTTACCTTTGTTCCAGCAGCCAGAGCCAGTTGTATGACAGGCAGTGACATCTTCAAAGACGCACTCACTCTCTGCCCCCATGGAGTCATCAAGAGGAGGTAATGGCAAAGAACAGTCACTGCTTCTCTCCATGTTGTTATAGAAACCAGGGATCAGGAATGTAATGTTCTAAAACATAGAACAAAGCCTTGTGAAGCTACGCTGGCTCTCACAGGTTGGGGGCAAGCACTCACAATCCATGTTTGTAGACCTGATTCTCATGAATCAGCCAGGCAAAAGTGATCTGCATGACTGATGGGGAACATGTACTTGAAATCCATACCAGCTCCTTGGCACTACCAGGATTAGCAATTACAGCAGGGGAATTTGCGTATCATCCTACAACTCGCTTGCCAAACACATGGAACACAGGGGTTTTGTGACAGAAATGAGTCTGTAAAGATGACTTTACAATTCCCATGGCTGTGCTGCCACAGGAGTCTTTTGGGAGGGATTAAAACTCCTGTCTTACCTTTCCCAACAGTTCTTTCTTCTCATAGCCAAAGAGCATTAAAGCAAAACTATCCTTGATGCCACAGATGGTTCCATCTGACTGGACAGTAATAAGACCACTGATGGTGGAGAAAACGACGACTGTAGCAGAGTAATGACAGCCTGTGAAGGAGCCGCCGCCTTCTGTCTGCGGAACGCTGTCTGTCTGCACTGCCGCTTGGCCCTCCTCCAGAAGGCTTACTTGCAGCTTTACACTCAGAGGAAACAGGTTACCCTCTCTGGATCGGCCTACGGCTCGCTGGATCCTGGCAATCTAAATCAAAGGGGAAAAAAAAATGAAAAATACGAAACAGAAAATCTCTAGCTAACCAAATGGTTTGGTTTTATTTCAGAATTCATTATAAAATTACATGGGAACATTCTCAGGAAAAAGGAGCAGGAAAAGATAAACGAACCAATCCTGTGAATATCAAAATGAACAAAGTCTGGTTTTCTAAGGATTTGGAATCCAGGGTTGAACTCCTGTATGACTATCCTGATGATGAAGACCAGGAAAGTCCATGCTGCAGCTTTTCAGCAAATGAGGCCTCTTGCAGCTATCTAGCTGCCAGTTTTCAGGGCATTTGCAAGATCTGGGTATGCGTTAGACTCTCACTCCTCTGACAGACATGACTGAAACAGGCTAAAGAATTCAAAGGGATTTTAGGGAGCTGGCAGAGACAGCGTGGTTTCTTAAAAAGCCAGGACTGGAGAAAAGTTTCTTTCACCCGGATAGATTCCGCAGTGAGAGGTCGAGGCTTGGTCTTGTTCCTAGTTAGGACATATCACCGAATCACAGAATGGCGGGGGTTGGAAGGGACCTCAGGAGATCATCTAGTCCAACCCCCCTGCTAAAGCAGGTTCACTCAGAGTAGGGTGGACAGGACATACTCAGACAGCAGCTCCATAAATAAGCAGCATACCCTCTTTCAAGGGACTTGCGCTTCTCTCCGAAAAGGCTCTCCGCTGTTACATAAGGAGAGAAAAGAGTGAGCACCTATGTCCCAAACGGGAAGAGCATGAAGAATGTGGTTGGTGCTTATACTATACCTTTGGGATTTTTCTGCCTAGAGGAGGGATCTGCACAGAAGGAATCAGGTCCTGTATGTGGAGCCCAACTACTTCTTCCAGTGTTGGGTAGCCATGGAGATGGGCAAAAAGGAGGTCACACGATATAATCTCTCCCTTGGGAAGAAAATTTACAGCACTATTTTAATTTTAGCATTTTAGCCACAGTCCACTCAATCCTTTATCAACCATTTCTGCACATAACTAAGCAAATGGCAGGAAGTTTCCTTCTGCAGTCTCTTTGTGGATACAACCACCTCAGTAAAAGCAGACACAGCATCGTGCAATACTTCTCCGACACTGTCATGCACAGAGCCTGCCCTTTGCATAGGGGAGAAGCAGGGAAGTCCAACGCTCCTCACAGAACTTTTTCTCAGGAAGCTGATCCCTCCCCAAGGGCTTCCCTGCCATGAGTAACGAACCCCCTGCCAAACTGTCACTGTTCAAGGCTAAGATGTTCCCGGGGGACTTGTCGAGGTGAGCCGCGTGGGAGATACATGCACAGGTCCTGCATGGGCAGCCCCGCTGCATACACACCTCACGTTCACAAATGGTATCATGCCTACTGCTTTTAGATGTATTCCATTTGCACAGAAACTCTCACACATTGCAGTCTCCTTTGATTGTTAGGAAAACACTCACGTCAACCCTGAAGGAAACAGATGCTGACAGTCTTTCCACTGGTTCCAGCACAACCACACAACACTGCTTGTCCTTGCTTCTTATTTGCCTTAGCCAGACCGAGACAGGGATCTTTTCCTTCAGACGGCCAATAACATCCACCTTACCATAGGATTCAGAGATACAGACATAATTTACTATGGCTGTGACTATTTAGCAAGAATTTCAAACAAGAATAAGATATTGAGCCAAGATATCTCCTGCCATTGTTAGAAAAATGTTTCTTCACTCCTTACTAGTTTTTTTATTGGAAGAAACACAGTTTTAATAGAGATGAAAAGGTTTGCAAATAATCCACTGATCATGCACTAAATGTTGTCGTTGCTTTTGTATCTTCTCTCCCAGCCTCAAGATGACTAACGGCATTTCCTTCAGCACAAAAAACATGCCCATCTAATACCTTGCATTCAAGAGAAGTGCCTTTCAGAGGTGCCTTATTTAGGAGATGCCCCGTGGTGCTAATGAATACTCCACATCAGTAACATAGTTCTTACTTTAAGCTGCAAAAATAGCAGTTTAATTTCTTAGAGGAGGAGACTCCTCTGAAATGTTTATTTATCTTATAACCTGCAGATTTCATATCAAGTCTTTCATCATTTCTATGTGATCTTGACAGAATGGGTTTATGAATTACACAGCAACTCCTATAAAGTACTTGGAATGGCCGTAGCTTAGAATTAGCGCCTTTATCAGACATTGAATTTTAATTCTGGATTTCACCAAATGAAACTTTGGTGTTTTTTTCTCCCCACATCCAATTGTAGATTCAGGAAGATCAGGCTCCGAGATGCTGACAATTTCAGTACAAAAGTAACACATCAGGAAGAACAGAAGCTCATTTTCCAAGTATTTTCTAGTGACAGCTCACAACAGCAGCAAAAGAAAATAACTTGGAGACATTTCTCAGGCAGTTCTCTTACAAACAGCCCCGCTATAAGTCAAATAGAAATTCTACTCTTCTGCACCAACTGGGGTGTTTTGGCACAGACATTTCACAGGATTTGACTGACTTCTAACTTTATAATATGCAGAATGCAATTTAAGGTAATTTTTCAAATATTTTAATAGACCAGACAGTCGGAAACTTTTCCAGAACAGGTCTCTCCATTTTAAGCAATCTATATTGATTTTTTTTTTTAATCTAATGTCCTTTAAGTTCTGATTTGGTCAAGTCATCATGACTTGACATGTTGGCAGCTGCAAGGCTCTCACGGCTGCCTCCCAAACCATCTCTTACCCTTTGAATTCCCACATCTGCAAACTTTTAAACCAAAGAGTCCTACAAATGACATAATTGCCCAAACACCCACAAAGTTAAACATATCAGGAAATTATATTGAAAAAGTCAAAAAAAACCCCAATCCCCAAACCAAAGCCAACAAAAACACTGTATATGGTGGGGAATATTTGCTTGAACATTTCACGTACCACAGTTCCTGAAGCCACCAATGAACATTCACCAGTTTCTATGCACTCCTCGCCCACAGCTTCCCATACCTCTTGACTGGATTTGGATATGAAGCGGGACAGCTTTTGACCAATGAGTTCCTGACTACTGCACCCAAGCAGCTTGCAGGCTTTGTCATTAGCCACTAGGATCTAGAAAAGCAGAAAAAAACCCCAAAACCAAAACAAAGAAGAAAAGCTGCAAGGTTTGTTAGTAGATCATCACCTCCTCGGGTTGTTGCTTTAATGTCTTATAATATCCCTTCCCCTTGGTGGAAATGGAGTGGTCCTTTTAAACTCTGATATCTTCAGAAACGGTTACTGAAGCTTCTTGCTCCAGGACATCCCTTGCCCACACGTCTTCTCAGTTAAGAGGGTCTGAGACATTGCTTTCCTTTTAGGTTTCCTGCTTTCTTTTAACTGCCTACCCGCTCCAGCCTCTTGTGTTGTCTAAATAATTACATTCACAGAGGCAAAACTACAAAGTTGGATTTGCAGGCGAAGCCTGGGCATACCACAGAATTTTATCCACACCCGAAGGCATGCAGTAATCACACCAGTCATGGGCATGCTTAAGCCATACATACAGACCAAGTCAGGATTAAATGTCTTTACGATGGGCAAGTCAGTTCAAGCTAAAAATGGCACAGCTTTTTAGTTTTCAGTACTCAATTTTACATTAACGTTTACTCTCAGGACAGAAGCAGAGGAATTCTCTCCCTTCCGATGCAAAATGCATATTTACTGGGTCAGATAAAGAGACCTCGTGCCACCACAAACCCATCCTAGGGTTGGCACTTAACAGACAGAAGGCTTGAAGCACATTCTGCTCTTCCTTTCTTTACTCATGCCACATCACAGCTGCACTCTTTTTTATCCCCTTTTTCTGTTTGAAAAAAAGACTCAAGGCATCCATGCTTCTATATTGTCTTGTATATTTTGCTAACTACAACCTGCAATGGAAACAAACACGTTGTCAGTCTTGAGAAGACTGCTGAGCTTGAGAAGACTCTAAAATGCCTTCACGATGCTCTGACTGCCTGCAGATACACGCAAGGATAACAGGCGGTTTCCCCCTTCTGATGTCATGCAACCTATACCAGAGATGGCCTGCTTAGTTCAGCAGTTGCTGCTACAAATACCTCTGTGGTGTTGACATCCACGGTGAAGATGGCTTTGTTTGGATTGCGCACCACAGTTGGGAGATGCTGGCTAGATTCCTCCACGGTGAGGGCGTGCAAAAAGGAGGAAGAAGCAGAACTTCCAGTGGAAGGAGAGGCAGAATCCCACCGAGCCCACAAGTTACTGATTTTGCTGGTACAAATGTTATGAGCTACCAGTGAAGACAAGCAGTAAGAGCTCCATTTCTCTCCTGCAAGAAGATAAAGATCGGCTATGTTAGCTATAACGGGCTGCTACAGGAGTATGAGAGGAACAAATAAAAAAAAAATAAATCAGTTGTCAGCTGAAGCAACTGTCCCAAAAGGAAACCCCAAATATATGCCTCTAGATCTTTTAAGAAATTACAAGAAAATACAATCAACGGAACTAAAGAAAACATAAGAAAATCTAATAAACATGTATTTTTGAATCACAGCCACCGGAACAATTAAACTCAGCCCATAGGCCAGAAAAAAATTGCCAACATCCATAAGATTCAACCAGACTAGTTAACTTTTATTTTTCACTTAATAGTGTTTAAAAGGTTTTGAAATATCTCAAGTTAAAACTGAAACTGTTATTAAATATAATTACAGTAACTGTTCAAGCCCTTATTACATACTGCATTAGTCAGAAGTCAGTTAATTAAACTGTTCACAAGACATGACACTGAAATACCTGTGCCCACACCAACGTTTTATGTTACACAACGCCAAATGATTCTAACTAAAACGTTCAAAAGTTTAGACTAGATATAAGGAAGAAGTTCTTTACAATGAGGGTGGTGAGACACTGGAACAGGTTGCCCAGAGAGGTAGTGGAGGCCCCATCCCTGGAAACATTCAAGGCCAGGTTGGACGGGGCTCTGAGCAGCCTGATCTAGTTAGCGGTGTCCCTGCTCCTGCAGGGGGGTTGGACTAGATGACCTCTAGGGGTCCCTTCCAACCCAAAACATTCTATGATTCTATGAAAAGTTCTGCCTGTAAAAAACATCTCCCTGGGAAGAGGCATCAGCAGCCAAACGCCATCGTTCCAGTCCCAAACCAGGAAGCAGCTCTGAAGGTTTAGCAGTACTGGAAGAAGTGTTATGAGCAGCTCCTCACAAAGACACCTCTGCATTTATGCATCACATATAGTATGAATATGCTCACTACGATAAAACAGGGAGACCCATACCTGGACACATTGCAAAATGCAAAGCTCTTCCCCTCCTAAAAGAATCCAGTGTAAGAGCGTCTTTCTCCCCATTTGGAAATGTTTCATGTTTTAGATAATAACACAAGGTGGCAGGGCAGTCTGAACAAGCGCTTCCTGGCAGCTACTTATTGCTATCATCTCTAGGTTTGGGGCAAGGGAGGAGGAAGATCTGAACTCATCTGAAACACTTCACCTTCACTGACGACACTTGAACTCAATCTCAAAATACTGCGCTCACCAGACAGAGATGCTCTAAGTCGGCAGAGTTCAGAGAGCTGACTTTTCCTGCTCTTGCTGGCCCAGGGGTAGGATCTGTTCAGCTTATCAGAGTCATTCAAGTGAGCAAGGGCTGAGCCTACTGGTGAAGGCAGAAGGCCCCCTCCTGAGGGGCTGTAAGCCTCGGCTGCCATGACCACACTCTGGTTGCCACGCCGCACCTAGGGAGCCACCATCTGTAACGGAAACGTAAAGAAGTCAGTCAGCCTTGCAGTCAGGCACCAGTGCTGAAGATGCTGGCGGGTAACAACACCTTCTAACCCCATGCATGCCCCTGTAAGTCACGGCAAGGCCGCCGCTTGTTCTTGCGTGTCGCGACCAACGTGTGGTCAGTGCCGTTAACACGAAGGCAACTCTGCTGGCCGTTGTCCTGCCCAGGCGGCACAGGATACCGTGCCTCACGGGACGCCTCCACCTTATTTCTGGAAGAGTTACCAAGCACCCATCCGGCACTCTCCCCCCATTATTCCTGCTCGCTTTAAAAGCAAAAGCTTTGTTAATTTCGGAAGTAATTCCCGGGTTTGGGTTAGCAAGTGTGGCACAGCCTCCCTCACACCCAGGGTGCCGCCCGCACCACCCACCCTCCCGGGGCTGCAGCCCGAGCCCACCGGCAGCGAGGGCCCGGCC